CCAGCCATCTTCCCAAATTTCCTCACTGTTCTACAACCCACTGGTCTTTCCCTCTTTGGAATCTGCCCAACTACAGTCAAGCTACAATGGCCAGCACATTCCGCCGCTGCAATTCGCAACAAATCGGGTTTCTCCAAAGCTGAATAGATGCCGAAATGCTGCACAATAGACGCTTTAGTGTGAGTAATTCACGCTGTCACTGCAGCGAACGCGGCTCGACACTCACCTGCAATCCTGACTGCCATATCCTGAACTGCACGTGCTTTCATCGAGGCTTTTCACGCCCAATAATGTCGGTGGTGGACAGCGGCGATCCAATGATTGAGCTTCTCCACGGAATGATCCGCCACTACGCGAAAGACTATCGCCATACAGCCATGGATTTGTTCGTATGCCCTGAAATCAGATGGAAGTAAGGAGTGCGCCATGAATCTCGCACACGATCCCTAAAAGCATAAAAGTAGAGCATAAACACAGCTACTCAGCCCAGCCCCCCACGTTTCGATCTTACAATCGTCCCCGTAGGGCTAACCATTATATAAGGTCTAAAGGTATGTTTGATAGCGGGCAAGTAGAGGCTTCAGATAAGCCCCAAATAAGAATTCGTTTGATTTTATGCCTTGGACGAGTTCACCTGCAATGAAAGCGTACGAGAGTTTCCCGGGGTATGTGGCAAGAGAATCGTAATTCGCCGCGCCAGTGGGCGTCGCGTGCGACGTCGCGCCCGCTAATGACGACGATTTTAGGTGGTATTGGTCGAGAATAGACAATGTATGACCAAAAATAGACATAAGTGTCTACCATGTCCTTGTCTACATGAAATCCGATGCTCCAATCGAAAGGGTAGTGCAAATCAAGGGAACGTCGCGCTCACTGCCGCGCGCGACGATGCGACGGCAATTCACAATTCTCTTGCCCGTCTCCCAGTTTTCCGGATGTGCTGTCCATGTAAAGGTTAAAGGTTGGTCGCAATTTGGCTCGATAGGGGCACCGAATGGTACTGAGCTAC